TTGCGCATAGCTTGCAGTCTCTTTTTTAGGGTTAGTTTTCGGGAACCGGGTTTGCGCATAGCTTGCAGTCTCTTTTTTAAGGTTAAGGAAAAGGGTTTGCGCATAGCTTGCAGTTACTGTGTGGACCAATCAGTGCTGACTCCGCCCAGTAGGTGGAGCCAGTGACGCTAAACAATCAGCACTGACTCCGCCTCTTGACTCCACCCAGGGGGCGGAGCCAGTGCTCTATATAAGCAGAGTACATACGGGACAGAGGTGGGTATTCTGCCAGACCCGCAACAGAACAGCAACAGCAAAAGCAGACACCCAAGAGAAAAAGCAAAAGATTCTGACAGCGGTGGGCAGTGAATCGGGTTTACTGCCTGAGAGGGGCTTATTGGGCACCGCTGCGTGTCTGGAATGGGCTAAACCCGCGATTGTTAGATTGCGCATTGAGACAGATTCTGCCTAACCCTAACCCTAACCCTAACCCGACCCCTAACTCTAACCCTAACCCTACCCCTAACACTAACCCTAACCCTATCCTTAACCCTAACCCATGCTAACCCTAACCCTAACCCTAACCGAAACCATAACCCTAACCCTAAACCCTAGCCCTAACACTGACTCTAACCCTCTCTCTTACCCTAACACTAACCCTAACCCTTACCCTAACCCTAACCCTAACTCTGACCCTAATGCAAACCCTAACCCTAACCCTAAAACCTAACACTAACCCGAACCCTAACCCATACCCTAACCCTAGTACCTTGCAATCTCTATTTTAGGGTTAGGGTTATAGAAAAGGTTTTGTGTATAGCTTGCAGTTACTGTGTGGACCAATCAGCGTTGACTCCACCCAGTAGGCGGAACAGTGACACTAAACACTCAGTGTTGATTCCGCCTCTTGACTCCACCCAGTGGGCGCAGCCAGTGCTCTATATAAGCAGAGTACATACCGGTCAGAGGTGGGTATTCTGCCAGACACGCAACAGAACAGCAACAGCAAAAGCAGACACCCAAGAGAAAAAGAAAGATTCTGACAGCAGTGGGCAGTGAATCGGGTTTACAGCCAGAGAGGGGCTTATTGGGCACAGCTGCGTGTCTGGAATGGGCTAAACCCGCGACTGTTAGATCGCGCATTGAGACAGATTCTGCCTAACCCTAACCCTAACCCTAACCCTAACCCTAACCCTAAACCCTAACCCTAACCCTAACCCTAACCCTACCCCTAACCCTAACCCTAACCCTGCAAAATCTAACCCCTAACCTCAACCCTAACCCTATCCCTTACCCTAACACCTTCGCTAAACCTTAAACCTAACCCTAAGCCTAACCCTAACCTTTACCTTAAACTCTAACCCTAACCCTAACCCTAACCCTAACCCTAACACTAGTAGCTTGCAGTCTCTTTCTTAAGGTTAGGGTTAGGAAACTGGCTTTGTGAGTAGCTTGCAATCTCTTTTTTAAGGTTGGGGTCAGAGAACAGGGTTTGCACATGCCTTGCAGTCTCTTTTTTAAGGTTAGGGGGAGGGAATAGGGGTTGCGCATAGCTTGCAGTCTCTTTTTTAGGGTTAGTTTTCGGGAA